TTCCCCCCCCCCCCCGCCGATAGCCAGTCACGATCACATTAAATGCACGGTCAGAAGTCATCATTGCTCTAGTCCCCAAAGTCTTTATGACTTATCAGATTTCATCAGCACCAGCCAGTTGTTGTCGCTTGGTACTAACCACCTGGATGACTCATCTTTGCCAGTGATCAATACATGTTAGTTGTTTGCCGAGTCAGTTGCCTGCCTGGACTTGGCTCAAGTTACCTATCTTCCCTTCTGATCTTCTACAAAAGAAAGCCATGCAGCTCAATGTAACTCTCTAGTCTTGTGACATAACTTTGATACATTCTTCATCATCTCACATTTTCCCACTCAAGTTTATATACTGACTTGATCATCGGAGGAACAATCGGAGAACCCAACTCCAGCCTCTCACAAGTTTTCATGTGCAAGAGAGGGTTATAGGCACCCGAACTAGCCATTCAAAGAAGTTTGAGGACCCTAACACTCTTCTAATCCACTCGCAAATCCTACGTTTGATAATTGTCATTAATAGTTTCGCGCCCACTGTGGGGCAGCTTCATCTCTCTTTCAAAAGAATGGCTAACCCCTTGTACTCAAAGGTTGCAGATAATAAGTTGTCATTCCGATAGGCTAAAACGCTAGGCTTACCATGAATATTTTGGGGACTACCTCTCCAAGATATGGTCAACGATATTTCTCTTATGAATAAGAGAGATTTTTTATGTTGCGTACTAACCAATACATAGCTTTTGTTGTTTGATCTCTATCAAATCGGCTCACTTCTGCCACTAATCCTAGCATCATTCTCATGTCTATATCAAGAGCACATATGGTACTCCCCAATGTAACAAATTAAAGATATTATCTTTAAAATAATATATTATTTGTGTCATGTACTTATATGCAGATGTTGTCTTTGACTTAAAAGACATTAGCATTATTTTCATGAGCAAGACCAAGGCACATCATCAACCTGGTCGACTGCAACACCAAGACCTTGGTGCCTACTCATGGAAAAATCAAGGCATATTGACTCGGCCTATATCAGCTAAAAGACTTTGGCACCTTCCTAAGCCCAAGGCACGTATCCTAAGGCCTTGGTGTCATCAACTAAATCCAAGGTGCGAGTTCAAGTCGCACTCCTCTTCACACAAGGAGTTGAGTCATCTTAACCTAACAGGCCGACTTGTCCCTTCCTAGTCAGGCTGAGGCAGGCGTCCCTTATAGCCTAGGCAATTAAGAACCTTAGCATCATTTCCATGAGCAAGACCAAGGCACATCATCAACTCGGTCATCTCCGACTCCAAAGACCTTGGCATCTTCATAAGCCCTAGGTACACATCCCAAGACTTTGGTGTCATCACGAATAAACTCAAGGTACAAGCTCGATGCCCCTCGGGACCCAGCCAACTACAGTCATAATTCACTCAGACTCGGTTACCCCGAGTCAAAGCGAAAAGGGCCAATGTTATGACATCAATTAACCTAAGTGTTAATTATTATATTGGAGTCGACACATGCTCCATGTTAGTATTAATCAATCACGTCGGCTTACCATCGCGAGGGGCGACTCAAGTAGCCTAGACACTCGACTCCTCTTGAGCCAGGCCGAGTCGAGACCACCTCTCACTCAACCTCACCAATCAAGTCAACCAACCTCATTCACTCAGAGCTGGGTTGACATCTTGCATGACTGACTTGAGAGGCGATACTTAACGACCTATTCTCAAAGTTGAGCCCTCAAGGTTTCACACTCGACACGCTATATTAGCCGACAACTTGTGTAACCGGCTAAAAAGTGATGCTTGTCAGCCCTCCACTAGACAACTGAAGAAGCGTTGCTTCTCTCACTTTTGGCAAGGAGTCATCCCTTCTCGACATGCAGCATAACTCATCCCTTCTCGCTAGGCCGAGTAAGTAGGCGGTCTTCCTCGAGCACCCCGCTGACAATCAGTCATTATCATATTAAATACATGATCAACATCATCATTGATCCAGCCCCTAAAGTCTTTATGACTCATCAGACTTCGTCAACACCAAACAGCAGGTGTTGCTTCGCACTAACCATGGGGATGACCCATGCCACCCATAGATGATACCTGTCAGCTGTCTACCGAATTAGTTGCCTGGTTGGCTCGGCTATAGTTCCATATCTACCCCTGGCAGAGGGGCTGGACAAGGGGCCACATGTATGCAACTTTTACATGCTTAGAACTATTTTTAGTTTATTGGTATCTTCTTCACTCATGCTCAAATACAGACTTGACCGTCAGAGGAACCACCGGAGAACCCAACTCCTATCCTCTAATGAGTGTTATTGTGCAGCTCTCTTATACAGACATGGGACTGGTCTTCAAGAGAGATGAGAGAACCTATATCACAAGTCCTCTTGCTAAACTCGGGATTATCCGCTAATCTTGCTATTGGATCTCAGGATATCAATAGCTCTCAAAACTTTCTGCCTTCTCAAAGCCCACTTCGGTTGAGAAATTGGAGGGGGTGATAATAACTGTTGATGTACTAGTGATCACATAGTTAGTTGCATCCAGGGCAAGATAATTTCGATGAGGTAGAGAAGATTGATGAGGGGATCACCTTCTTCTCTGACATTATGTCTGGTTCTTGAATTAGGGTTGCTGAACAATCT